ACATGAATGGTTTAAGCATAAGTGTCTAAAGCAAAACTATAAATATGATAATGACAACGCCATGCAGTTAATAAATCATATGGTTAGAAATTTAACCCAGGCCATGCCATTAACTTTAAATTTTTCTCCCTAAAATTTTTTTTCATAATTTAGATTGAAAATACCCATTATGGCTTCTTTATATTGTATATTTTTATGCTTTGGTTTGTTTCTTCCTAATCTCATACAACAATACTAGAACACAAAAAATTCTAAAATAGATTGTTTCAGTTTCTGCTTAAATGTCTACTAACCAAACTAGAAGTTTGTACATATAATGAATGCTTACTTCTAAGAAAACTAGGCCTAAAAGTTTGTTAATATCCTGCTTAAGGGGAGCTCCAATAGCGCAATCGGTTAGGGCATGGTACTTATAATATCCTGCTTAAGGGATTAGACAACTTCAAATCTTTCTTCAATTTGTGATATTTATATATTTCAGTATTAAAGTGCTGACTGTCATGTATTTTTAAAATTTTTTTTTAATGAACCTCACTTTATTATTCACCAGGAAACAGGAAGCTATTATTACTGTATTTGTGTTAATGCTGAGCTTTTATCACCATTTTCATTTTAATTCTACCCTTGGTAACAAAACAGTGAATATGTTCTTGCATATTTTTCCCTAGCAGTAGAAATGTTACTTCACCGAAGCAGATAAACAGCCCTGATGATGATTGTTATATGCTCAGTGATCCTTATAATGAGGAAAAGTAGAATGTTCTCTGATCACTCTCGAAATTGAAAACTGACTGGATTTCATTTAGGAAATAGCAAGTCCTCTTTATAGGTGATACACTCTAAATGTATTTAAAGACTAGAGTATCTTCCCTGAATCCTGGGAGAATATGTCAAATTAGATTCTTAAAGGAAAATGGTGCTTATTGTGTACAAAACAGAGAAATTGGCTAGGTATGGTGGCTCACACCTATAATCCTCACACTCGAAAAGCCGAGGTGGGCTGATCACCTGAGCTCAGTAGTTATAGACCAGCAAGAGCGAGACCACACCTCTAAAAAATAACTGGGCATTGTGGAGGACACCTGTAGTCTTACCTACTTGGGAGGCTTAGGTGCATAGATTGCTTTGAGCCCAAGAGTTTGAGACTGCTGTGAACTATGATGCCACTGCACTCTACCCAGGGCAATAGAGTGAGACTCTGTCCCAAGAAACAAAACAAACAAACAAACAAAAAAACCCTAGGGAAATCTTATATAAATCATATTTTGAATTAAATAAAGATATCAAGAACACCTACCTTACAACCAAATAAGATATCATGAATGTCTCACTTCCGTTCCATATATACAAAAACGTCAGGAGGCTTGTATTTGCTAGGGGTCACCCATGTAGGCTGATCAGATAATACGTGGACCCAGGCCATTTTTCATGGTCTAGTTCACTTAAATTTCTTTGAATGTAAGAATTAGAATTCTTACAATATGCCAAACAATTTGGGGGACAATATTATACCTGTGTAAATATTTTTACACTTGTAAAATTTAAGTGTAGCTTGTGACTGTTATCCACAGTGTTTGCTTATAACTAGGTATTCCTCCAAGTTGAAGGAAACTTTTAAAGAAGAGTATCTTTTTCACTATACTAGTGGCATATTGCTGGTCAGAACCACATTTTCTTCCATTATTTAAATTTAGTTAAATTCAGTGTACCTACTAAATGCTTATTAAGTGGAAAAATGACTAACCTATACGCTTTCCCCCTATAATGTTTTCATGCTTTTGAGCTTATAGGATGAAGGGAGTCAAAGATGGAGGAAAAAGATTAAAATTATAGCTCACATAGTGTATGGAAACTCCCGTGTGGCAAAGAAGTACAATTATATAAGATAATAGAAACCGAGAAATTGAGAGCATCTAGGAAGAGAACTAGATTTAATCAGGCTGTCAGAAGGCACAGAAAATTTTAATATGAGAAAATTTTGATAGGAGAAATGATATTGAGGGAGTATGAAGACAAAAAATACCCAGGAAATATTGTCAACTACACAGGTGATTGTTTTCTAGTTTAGGAGAAGATAATATAACATAAATTTGAAAGAAGGCTCGATGTGTGGAACAAATGTTCTGAAATGCCAATAAGTTAGAAGATCTGTTTACGCTGTATCAAAAACAGGAGAAAACATATCCTCTGCCTGAGAGAGCCTGCCGCCTAAGAATCATGTATCTAAAATGAAATATGCTAAGGAAGGGGAAATTTTTTGCATTAGGTGAGATTTCCACAGGTGATAGCACATGTAATAGGGCAGAGTTATGAAAGAGTAAACTGACGTTACATCACAGGGCAAGTTCGCTGTTAAACCAGAATGTGGAGTAAATGGGGAGGGGTAGCCCACATGCTCTGTGAACTCACTTCTCTTAAATGGAAGAATAGAAGCAAACAGTTCTTTCTTTCTCCTGCACCACTCCTTTTCCTTCCAATGTGCTACACAGTGACTGTGGGGGTGGAAGGTAACAAATCTGAGTCCTTGCATTCTGCCCTAATTGATTGATCCTATGTATCCAAATCCAAAGACTTTGTACAACTTCCCACAATGTCTTCTGTTGATGCAGTAGCAGTAACTGAAACTCAGAAGGCTTAGTATAAAATCCTTAAATCCTTAATCTTAATTTCTAAGATTTCCCCAAATATTTATATGTGAAGAAAATACAAAAAGAAAAGGAAAAATATTATAAACTAAAATAAAATCTAGAACCACTTCTACCATACAATATACATGGAGTATTAATAACTGTTACATTGCAGAAGTTATTTTACAGTTCAAATACTATAAGATTAAGGTGAAAATACTTTTAAGTGGTTAATTTATAACAAGCGCTTACCCTGTGGCTGACGACTGGGATGGTATATCTGAAGGTCAAATGGCTGTGCGCTGGTTTTCTGAATCACACTGACATTCTGTCCTGTCCACTTATTGGCTTTGGACAAGGTATTGGTCCTCCAGTCTGTCCAATAAACCTCACTTCCATACAGAGACACAGCAAAGGGATGAGAAAGGTATTCGTGACCACGAATGATTTCTATCATGTTTGTTCCATCATAGAGGGCTGAATAAATGGCATCAGACCTACAGAAAGTAAATACATGAGTAGTTTATGAGAACTCATCAAAACAGTCCAATGTGAATGACAGAACTTAGCTAAATGACAGAGAAAATTTTTTTATATTTTTTATGGTCTATGTCTGATTTATAGAAAACAAAACAAACAAGCAAAAAAAGCCCACCCATTTCAAAATGTCCACATGATACCTGTGTTAGGAGACTTTTCAGTGTTATAAATATCATCTTGGAAAGTAAAATAAAATCCAGAAAAAAGATAATTTTATAAACCTGGCATCTGTCCAAACAATCCTTTTCTCAAAGTGGTCCACAGTCAGTCCATTAGGCCAAGCTCCGGTTTTCATGTCTTTGTAAATGGTTTTTCTTCCAGCACCACTCATAGAGGCAGATTCGATACGAGGAAAATTGGCATCCCAGTCTGTCCAGAAAAGAATTCTGAAGAAATAGAAATAATGCTATTGTTTCAGTCATGCATTTCACAGTATTTGTTGAGTGCCTACTGTATTCAAGGCACTGGTTAGGTGAGAAGTCACAATGATGCAGATCCCTTCCACCTGGGGCTGAACACAGACCACCACCACCCCCATCTTCTGGGCCCAAATAGGTTCATAAACCAGCTTGATCAAATGTTCCATCTAAGCTGCCATTTCTGGGGAGAGGTGTAATGCCCCAAACAGGACTGCATTCCTACAGAAGGGAAGTTTTAAAATTAACTTCTGCCCATAGGCCCCTGGCATGAACTGTTGTGACATATTTTAGACATACATCTCTCTCCCAACTCTTCTGTCAGGGTAGGAAAAGCTGCATATTAACCCCTAAATAGACATCCAAAAAGGGCTACCGACCCCCAAACCCCTCTCTTTTGTGTCAGAGGCTTTCCTCTTTCCTTTCTCTCACCTCTAATAAAATCTGTCCTGTCACTTACTCATGGTGGTTTGTGAATTCATTTATTGACTTTCTGAAACCAAGGACCTGGCAGGAGAGAGACTCCCGAGGTCAACAAGAGAAGCATGTATTATCCACTCTCAAGGGGCTAGAGTCTAGTGTAGGAAATAGACTAAAATGCATAGATAAGATAATTATGACTTGTGAAATATTTTGAAAAATTTTTGTTTTGATAAGTAGATGAGTGACCTACTTAGAGAAGAGATCAGGGAAAAGCACCTTGAGGAGATGGTACTTAAACCAAATCTGAGGAATGAAGAGAGCAGCATAAAGAGCACGACAAGCAGAATCAACAGCAAATGCAAGGCCCTTATAGGGGAGAGGGTGTCGGCTGCTTGAGGAGCAGAAATGGGGCTAACATGTCAGAACTGTCGTGAGTGAGGCGGAGAAAGGAGGAAGGGGACATCGAAGAGGGTAGTATTATGAGTCTTTAGGGTAAAGAAATTAGTTTGAGTTTTATTTCAAGAAAATAAGAAGTGCACAGGCCTTTGAAGGTTTTTAAGCTGGGGAGAAACACTATTCTGTACAGATAGCAGATATATACATCCAGTCTTTAGACTGCATATCTGTATATGTCACACATAAAGATTTACTGTACTAGATTATATAGATATGCTGCTTAATCCCAGCCAAGAATAGTTAATAGGAAGGCAGGAGTATAAGTATATCAAGTGGTTATTTTAAAGGACCGGGAAAGGTGACAGTGGTTTGTAGAATGGTCACAGCAGTGAAGGGGAGAAGTGAATGGATTCAAGGTATAATTGGGAGGTGGAATTACCAGGAGTAGCTGATGGACTGGATGGAAGAAATCAGGTAAAGAAGACAATCACAGGTGACTGTTTCCTGTTTCAGAAACTCAGATTGAAGGTGAAGAGATGGTGTACAGAGACTCCATTAAGTGAAAAGGGGAAATGAAAGAAGAACAGATTCTAAGAGCTGGAATTGATTGTGGATCAGTCTAGATAGTCTTGGGGTTCAGAGAACAATACTCTAAAATATGGTGTTTGTCATGCTGAACAATTTTAAGTTAGAAGAAATTGGTCTAAGACTCTGCCATAGAACCGAGGACTTTCTAACCCCTGGTTTCTTTTTCTTTTTCTGTCCTAGCTCAGGGAGAGGCTCTCTCTGGAAGTTCCCTTACCAGACTAAAGAAAACTACTTTCAAAAGAAGTGTAATTGTTTTTATTTTTAAAAAAGAAGAAGAAGGAGAAGAAGAAAAAGAAAACAAATAAACAAAAAAACAAACCTCCTTACTCATTAAATAAGCAGGGAAAATTAACCAACAAAGAAGACTAAAAATCAGTCACTACACCAGACAGATTTTTCATCTGTTGTTTCAAGGAAGCTCAAAGAAATTATTACCTGGGAGACTTTATCTGAACACTACATCAACCTTTATTGGCAGTGAAGTTCTGCCCCCACCTTCCTCCAGAGCTCAGAACTGTGTCCCAGGCCATTGTCTATTCTTAGGCTCATTCGATTTTCCTGAAAATGATTTATTACTTTCAAAATTTCCTATATCTCTCATTTCCTCTATGAAGGGAGTAAATGGGTCTGAACCCTCTAGCCTTCTTTGACTCTCATATTTTGTATGGCTCCTATGTTCATTTGCATGTTAATAATTTTGCACGCCTTTTCTCCAGTTAATCAATTGTCAGTTTAGTTTAGAAGACTTGAACTTCCAGAGTTGGAGAGAAAAAGTCTCTTCATGGTAGCAATCAAAAGGAGAAAGTAAATATTTCTATGATTTTTGGCAACATTTTGGTGATAAGTGGTAAAACTAGTGGTTAAAAATAAATTTATTCTTTATTATAATTACACATAGTTTTGTCATTTTTTAATTTGAGCATCTCTTCAAAATTCTATTTCAGATTAATATGAGGTACATATAATTAGTTTTGCCATTTTTTAAATTCTTCCATTATTTTGTATGATCCTTGAGTATAGAAATTTAGTGAAATTATCTTGGAAAATAACATAACCCTTTTGAGAAAAATTCAAATATCAATTCAATTTATGTTCTTTTTAAAAATTCTATCTCTACTTAGGAAAATGTAGAACTATATAAAGTGAGTATTTACCAAGACTTCAATTTTTGAGAAGTATATAGTCTACTATAGGACACATAAATTATAACTATGAAATGATTAGAGAACAATTCAGAACATTAAATAACAAATATAGGAAGTACGTATGCTAAAGTGTATTGTGGATAGAGAAGGAGAATGAGAGTGTAACTTACTGCATAAGTTAAAGTACTGACTGATATTCAATAAGTGTTTTCTTTTTTGAGACAGAATCTTACTATGTCACCCTTGGTAGAGTGCCATGGCATCACAGCTCACTGCAACCTCAGATTCTTGGGCTTAAGAGATTCTTTTGCCTTAGCCTCCCAAGTAGATGGGACTACAGGTGCACAACACCCAGATTTTTTTTTGTTGTAGTTGTCACTGTTTGGCAGGCCCACGCCAGGTTTAAACCTGCCAGCTCTGGTGTATGTGGCTGGTGCCCTAGCTGCTGAGCTATAGGCGCTGAGCCTCAATAAGTGTTATTAAATAATAGTGTCAATGTTGAATAGTGGCAATACATATGCTTTTGTGTAAAACTTGGATCAAGGTTGAGATCTGTCACTTAACACCACTTACATAATCTCAGACTCCATTTTCACATCTGAAAATGAAAATTATAATGGTACACATTTGCTGGGAGTATTCAATAATGGGTGTAAACAATTTAGCACAGAGTGACCATCACAGAAAAAAGATTTGTGTTTGTATATCCATGCACACATATATATTTGTAGATACAGAGGAAACTGAGCCCTGATCTTTAGCATAAGACTCACTTCCTGCTTGAGAGATCTGGAGAGTCAATCAGGAGAATGGCATGTGAGTTGTGTACACTCAGCAGCTCAGAAAACTGACCTCCAAGGGAGAATGTATCTGTGAGGGGTGGTAATACCAGGCCTAATGGTTAGGGTAAAGATTCTCTAGATTTCAAAGGTCTTTTGATGTTGGAGGTTGAGGTCTTGCTTAAGGTCTGAGATTTTGCAAAACAAATTGAAGACATCCTGTCTGATACTTTCCATATTCCCCCTTTTTTAATGTTGATGTCTGATAAGTAACTTTTAACTACTTTTTTCTGTTTTGTTTTATCCAGTTTGATGAAAACATTTCAACTTGTATATAAAACTAGCACATTGTACCCCACGATTCCATTAATGTGCACAGCTATGATTTAATAAAAAAGATAAAATAAATAAAAATAAAAATAAATAAATGTAGACCAGAGGTTTACTCAAGAGGGCTCCTCCCAGAGTTCCTCAATCAAACCCTGTCCCTCCTGGCACAGACTTTGGGCCAAGCCTCTTTGTTATTGGTGTCAAGACCCCTTATCTGATGACCCCAAGCCCCTTCATATAGAGAATAAATATTATCTAAAAGAAAAAATTCTAAGTCTTGCCACCTGTTAATGAAACAGAGGGAGAAAAAGAGAGGGGCAAATGAGAGAGAGAATAGTAATGTCAGTGTTTAAATGCTATAACAGGACATATGTGAAAGTAAGTGGGTTTTATAAAGTAAGCATGAGTCAAAGCCATGAGAATATGATTCAGGGCAAGAGATCACAGGACTGGATTCATCTCATAGAATATCTCTCGGACAATAAATTCATAATAGTAATTTGAAAAAAGAATTTCGTTTTATGGCTTTCTACAGCCAGAATTGGTAGGGCCACATTCTGAAAAATAATATCCAAATTATTTACTGTTTGACCATGATCTATGTGAATCAGTTAAACTAAGTGTTGGGAAAGGATAAGAATGAACATTAATGTACCAGAGGACAATGTCCTGATAACTGTTGAAGGAGCTAAGAAAATTTCAACCCCAAATACAATTCCTTGGTGTAAAGATTATTTTGAATTAAAGGCTATTCATAACCAGGAAACTCTGAACAAGACTTTCTTCTATCTACCTAAAATCTTAAAGAGCTTAAAGAGCTGCTAGACTCCTTATCACATGCTAATAGACCTGGCCCGAAGGTCATTTGACGCACAATACTGTCTCTCAGGTTAATTTACTAATCAATCTGTTTCCCTCCATCTACCCACTCCCCCTTAGCAACCACTTGCTACACGTGGACTTTCCAGGTTCTCTTCCCCCT